GTCAAGACAGTTCTGCTTGCACCACTCCGCAAAGAGTTCCATCTCGGTCTGTAGCTCTCGTAGTGAATTAGTGGTGTCCATGATCACAGTGTCATCAGAATATTTAGTGTATATAATACCTGGGTTATTGCTCCTACAGTCATTAGTGTATAGTGTATACAAAACCGGTGAGATTACAGAGCCTTGTGGTGCTCCAGTGGAAACTGTCTTAGACGAACTGAGGTGACCGTTGACTCGGACCCGCTGGTTTCTATCTGTCAGAAAAGACAGGATCCATAAGATAAGATGCGGGTTCACGTCCATTTGGAGCAGTTTTTGTCCCATCAGGTGGGGTTGCTCTGTATTAAAAGCACTCGAGAAATCCACAAAAACCAGTCTGATGAATGACCTGGGCTTTTCAAGATGGGAATAAGTGCCATGCAGCAGTGTTAGTATGGCATCATCCACACCTCTGTGCCGTTTATATGCAAACTGAAGGGGGTCAATATGCAAACTGACCTCCTCCTGAAGCTGGGATCAGTCGGCCCATTCTCCTCTGACGTCTAGCATCAACAAGGCATTTTCGCCCACAGGACTGCCGCATACTGGATGATTTTCCCTTTTCATACCATTCTTTGTAAACCCTATGGTTGTGCGTGAAAATCCCAGTAACTGAGCAGATTGTGAAATACTCAGACCGGCCCGTCTGGCACCAACAACCATGCCACGCTCAAAATTGCTTAAATCACCTTTCTTTCCCATTCTGACATTCAGTTTGGAGTTCAGGAGATTGTCTTGACCAGGACCACACCCCTAAATGCATTGAAGCAACTGCCATGGGATTGGTTGATTAGATAATTGCATTAATGAGAAATTGAACAGGTGTTCCTAATAATCCTTTAGGTGAGTGTATATATATATATAATATATATATATATATATATATATATATATATATATATATATATATATATATATATATAACATTGTTTTACATTATACTTTATATATTTAAATTTGTTCTGAAATTTTTTGTTAATGTAGAACAATTGAAATGATGACTCTGCATGGAAATAATTGCACAGGTTAATCTGTGCTCAAGGTTAGAGAACAAGACCTACTGTGTTTTTACATAATCTCTTACAAACCTCCAGTTGGTCAGCTCAAGCTCTAAAGCTTTAATCCGTGAGTGTCGGATATCAAGTGATACAAGTGATGAAAAGCGTTTGGCTAAGATGTGTGCTCCCTGAGCAAATCGAGTTTGTGCAAGGGACAGAGTGTCTCATTACTTCAGCTTCAGTCATCTAACATGAGAGGTTGTATTCTGTGTTAGAATATATGGTTCATTGCAGTCTTACATCACAACATCTGACAGTTGAATCATAGAAGTCAATGGCACTATTCTCATTGCATTTATTTCCTTTCTAACACGTGACATTCATACAGACCTTGTCCCTCGGAAAGCTGCTGAAGTGACGAATGTAATGTATATTTTTATTGCTGTATTATGTGATAGCATCAGTTTGGTGAGTGACAGGCAGGCTCTCATTGACCACGGGCCAGCTAGCGTGTGTTTGGACAGTAGCAGCGGCAACAGCTGTGTGGCAGTGACGGCCCATAAATATTTGAGAAGAGACTCGATCTCTCAGTGTAGCACTGGATTACAGTAACCTCCCTAAATTTACACCCCGTGGGCATGCAGAGCCAGTGAAGGTGATATTGAAGTATAACTTCTCTCCCGGTCATGAAAGTTACACCTGAAAAGTGATGCTATTTTTCTTCTGTGTTCTCTTCCACAACAACCGGGACATGAAACTCAAGGTCATCGAGTTCAGTTGCTTTGAGATGCGACGAGAAGGCCAAGGACATTCATTAGTAACCATTGGGAAAATGTGCCTCTGTCTGCATTTACTGCACTCTATACCAACAATTTGTATTTTTTACAATTTTGATTAAAGGGGCAGATTATCAATTAAGAAAGACTTATTTTTGTATGGTTCCTTGCACAATACTCTGTCCTGAGCTAAAAACGCTTTTACCATTAGAACATTATTTGAGTATGGCTTTTCTTTACTGACAGAGAAAACTTGCTCAGTACCTGATACAGCATTGCATTTATGATACAAAGTGCTCAGATAAGTCCTGTGACCCACAAGTCAAAAAGCTGGTTGCTTTAGCAAATGCATTTTTATCTTGTGTTTGCTTTTGTTAACTCTATCGGTTAGATTTAGAGTAGGTGGTACATTTATTTTTACTCACATTTCACTTTGAAAGTGTCGCAAAACTTGCAAGAAACACGTAATATCATTTTGAAGAGATGTCATGTATTTGATAGGTATACACATATCAAGGCACATATTTCCAAATGAGCCTGTGTTGTTAGTGTATCATCAAAGAGTCTGATGGTATGTTGTTTTAGTCGAATTAAAATATATGTTTGTGTTAACACTGCTTGTTTTGTATGTTATGGTATTTTTTATTAATAGTTCAATCATAGTTGCATCACAGCTAAAATGTGCCAGAACACTAATGTTAACTGCTAACCAAGGAACTGGAAAACCAAGTGTAAAACAACATTTTGATTCATTTTGGCAATGCTGCTGTTTGAAGAGGCAAATATGTGTTTCTGATGGTTTTGAAGTTTAATAGATAACTCTGAATCCAGCATGATTGTTCACTCATTTGTTCTTTGTGATGGCTGCAGTTGTCATCCCTGTCACATAAAAGCATTCAGCAGTGCAGATGTTAACATGGCACTCCATATGCTGGAAATAGTGTCATTACGCACCTGCCTTTGTTATTCCAAATCATAGAGAGGGAACAATTATGAATCTCTAAGCAACGTCTCAGTGCTGCACCACTAGAAAATGCTTTGCATTTTTATTTGAACATTGTATGTGCAGTTTGAAATCCCTTAAAATATCCGAAATAATAGCATGCTGAGAAATTCCCCTCCAGTCCAAAAATAGTTTACAGAGACTAAGCTGCAAAGCGAATATCATTGTGAATACATTGTGAATTATTGTTATCATTAAATGATGGTTAGTCCTTGATAATTTCAGTCTGGCCTAAAACGTTTTTTTTTGTGGCACTGTTATTAAGACGGCGTTGCACCAGCTACACTGGACTCAACAGCAAATCCACAACCTGTACAGTAAGTATGCACTACAATTTATTTCACATGCAAAGAGAGTATTCACATAGTCTTAAAGGAACCGTAGGGGGGAAAAATCCTATCTAATTTTAATGGTCAGCAACAGGCCATGAGAGTTAATTTAGTTGCATAAAAGCTTTAACTCACTTCCCTATCATTGTAATTGCACATAAAAAAAAAATGATATAAAGCAATAATGAAATCCCAATAACTTTTGATTTGTAACCAAATTGGATCATTCAAATGTCAAGCGCACAGTGCAGCAGATGGTCTCTGAATGTTTGCTTTCAGCTTGAAGACATGTTGGGGTCTGTATCCACATTGTTCCCAAAAGCAAACATTTACTAAATGATATGCCTGAGGTCTGGAGAGAGTGTGACTCATTAAAACAACATTGAGAGTCGAGGGCAAGACTTTTGAGGTAGGTTTTTATCCCCATCTTGTTTTACACTTCGTCAATTATACAGTGCTTAGTGTCTAGACCTTGCTATTGCATTACTCCATCAAGGACAGCATGTGGCAGGAAAATGCAGCTTCGGTAAGCACCTCACCTACAAACTCATCAACAAGCCTCGTCAGTCAAGCCTTCATGGTCAAAACATCCTCTCGCTCTGTGATTTATCTCATTCATTTATTCAGAGAATGTCAATGCTGCATGTAGCTGTAAATGTAAATCTATCTGTAAGTCTATCTATCTATCATCTATCTATCTATCTATCTATCTATCTATCTATCTATCTATCTATCTATCTATCTATCTATCTATCTATCTATCTATCTATCTATCTATCTATCTATCTATCTATCTATCTATCTATCTATCTATCTATCTATCTATCTATCTATCTATCTATCTATCTATCTATCTATCTATCTATCTATCTATCTATCTATCTATCTATCTATCTATCTATCTATCTATCTATCTATCTATCTATCTATCTATCTATCTATCTATCTATCTATCTATCTATCTATCTATCTATCTATCTATCTATCTATCTATCTATCTATCTATCTATCTATCTATCTATCTATCTATCTATCTATCTATCTATCTATCTATCTATCTATCTATCTATCTATCTATCTATCTATCTATCTATCTATCTATCTATCTATCTATCTATCTATCTATCTATCTATCGTCAGGGAGCTTCTATCAATATGTGGGAGACTCCTAGACCTTCTGGGAGAGGAAGGTTGTCTACTATAATAATGTCTGGAATAATTGACGAAGGACTGTTAAATAATTAGAAATTCAAGAGAGTATGTGCTTTCCGTACATAATAAAACAAATTTGTGGGGAAAAAAAACATGAAAATAATTCATCGTTTTTATCCTATTGTTTTCTATATTTACTTGCTTAGTCAGTGTCGTTGTGGGTTTTGGTTCTTTTGCTGTTGTAGGCTGTAAGGACCTTTGAAATAAATTAAATAATTTGGCATTCAACTGCCCTCTAGTAGGCAATACAATACAATACAATATAATATATAAAACTGTTTTATTATTACTATGTACAGCAGTTGCAGTTTATAGTGCTTTCTGTAACATAAGCTGAACCAGTAATGGTAAAAACCCACCCACGCCATCCTCAAAACCTTCATATACCAGGCAGGATCTTTTAAGTACATAATCTCCTGCTGATTCTTGTCTATGCTCCCTCTATATCTATTATCCACAGCTGCCTATCTCGCTCGCTCTCTCGCTCTCTCTCTCTCCTGCTCTCTCACTACACATCACTACTGACTTCCTGCCTGCTCCTGATTGGTCTGTATGAGCAGGAGGAGATTAGGGCAGTCCCTAGTCAGCTGGAAGGGTGTCCAAAGAGTGCCAGGATAGAGAGAGAGAGATGCTGTCGCTTTAAGAGTATTTTTAGGCTGATAGTTGATGATGGTCAGTGGTGGGGAAAATCAGAGTTAGTGGCGGCAGTGCAGTAGCTGCCTGTGAATATGGATGACAAGGGGAGACGCTGATGTACTGTGGATTTAACAGCTTTTTTAACGCCATTAAACACACTGGACTTGGGTTATTTGTATGCATTCAACCTTAATTTGTTGTGGCTAAAATTAGGTAAGTAGTTGCAATTATGTATTTTCATTATTAATATAGAAAAGTTTTTTTGCTAGACTGAGTATTTGGACTTGTTATTGGCTTCAAGATTATATATTCAACAGAGTACACTTTCATACATGCAAGCTTTACATCACGCTTGGCTTGCGGATATGATGCTATGATGGAGGATGGGGGTTGGTTGACCACTGTGAACTAGCTGTCAAGCTATTTGTTTTTCTATCTGGACAACCCAGTCCACCTTCTTCCTCTGCGAGGCAGATATTTAAATTTAATGAAACTGGCGAACAGTGTGTGATCAAGTTACAGTATTGATTACAGCCTGACCCTCTGCTGTACTCCACATGCAGAGAGGTTTGTGTGCATGTTTTCCTTTGGTTGTGTGTGTGTGTGTGTGTGTAGATTATAGTAGATTATAACATCCAATTAATAATACCAGCATGTGTGCTTCAAATATACTCACGTACATTGCACGACCTTGTGTGATGAGTGCACGTGTGAATGTGTATTTGTCAACGTTTAGCTTGTCCATCTGTTTGTGTCCTCATGTTTTTGTACATGTATATTTTTTTGCAGTGACAACGCATGCTTGCATCCTTTTCTATAACTATGTTTGTTTTCACATGAGAAGCTGAGACACCTAAAGAGGCTGAAAGAGAGAAAGTTTGTTTAAGGACATGCAAAATGTCACAAGGTTTAGGCATGCTTGATGGAATAACATGTCAGGGCCAGTGAAGCAGCAGAGCTTACCGAAAGCAGGAGCGAAGACTTGCTCCAACATCCCCAGACATCAATCAAACAAACACACACACACACACACACACACACACACACACACACACACACACACACACACACACACACACACACACACACACACACACACACACACACACACACACACACACACACACACACACACACACACACACACACACACACACACACACACACACACGCGCACACACACACACACACACACACACATGCAAACAAACAAACAAACAGAACAGCTATACATTGTCCAGAGTCAAGCTTCAATAAACCATTAAAATGAGATCACAGCTTTTAATATTTTAAAGGAGATCCTAATGGTCTTCTTACAACATAAATACATAAGAACAGCTATATTATAGTGTGTGAGAAAAATATGAAGTGTAATAAAGACATGTTTAAATTAATGTTGTCCTAAATTTTATATTGTCATTTTACTAAAGCAAATAAATAAAATATTATCTGGAGAATACTGCATGTGTACATGTATGCAGTGGTGTAAAGTATTTGAGTAAATGTAGGTTAAATAGTTGCTGTAGCCTAACTACCTTTTTGGCTACTTTGCTCTTTGACTGAGTATAACGATATTAGCAACTCTCTACTTGACTACATTTTTGGATAAGCATATGCACTCTTTACTCCAATACATATCTTGTGCGTTTTGCCTTTACTCACCCAAACTTGTCAAAAAGGCTACTTTACGTGAATGTGAGTGCATTAGCAGGTATACGAGATGAGGACATGGCTGCAGCCGGTGAAGAGGCCGAAACCAGCACATCTAGTGCAAGTAGGCTGTGACTATTTACTTAAAGGCCCACTGAAGTGCCTTGAAACATGCAGCATTATTCAATGTGTTGATGGAATTTCCACTGCAACAGGAAGACAGGGCGGGACATTTCAATCAGCTCCTCCCCTTTTTTAAAATGGCCAAAAGCTTTTAGTTTATTTTTGCAGAGCTGTTGAGCTCGGCAAAGCTGCGTTTGACAGCCACAGTCTAATAGGTTCCCCTTTTAGATTTAATATGAAACTGTTACTAAAGCAAAACAGTGAACATAATCATGATGAGGATGTGTACCTTGAAAAGTGTGTAATTTGTAATTTATGATTGGCTTCATCACTGTTGATTGGCTTCATCACTCTGTGATTGGCTTCATCACTCTGTCTCCTCTCCACCAATAAGCTGGTGTGTGGTGAGTGTTCTGGCGCACTATGGCTGCCGTCGCATCATCCAAGTGGATGCTGCACATTGGTGGTGGTTGAGGAGATTCCCCCTTCCATGTGAAGCGCTTTGAGTGCCTAGAAAAGCGCTATATAAATGTGATGAATTATTATTATTATTATTATTTGTGTTGGTGCATGGCACCAGTGTTATTACTTCTACTCGACAGTGCCGTTTCTCCTCCTACATCGCTTTAAAATATAGCATTCTGTGAGGAATTCAAATGGGTCTGATCCATTTTGTGGTCTGTGGCGACTCACGCATATGATCCGCTCTGTGCTATCGTGTCTCTGGACCGGAGTAGATTGTGTGCACGCTGTGGCGGTTCACGTGATATTAAAGTGAAACCAGACTTCTTTCGCCCCGTGCTTTTCACCATGTAGAAAATAGTAATTGTGTGAACAAGTGATCGATTTTAGCCACAGCTTGTCTGTTTATGATGTAAATAGGTCCCCTTTAATATGTGGTTAGTGGTTCTCATCTATTGCTTTAATATTGGACAAATAATGTAATGGAATTATGTAATAATAATTTAGATTCTAGAGAGCATTGATTGGACCCAAAATGAAAATTCTGTCATTAATTACTTACCCTCATGTCGTTCCAAACACATTAGGGATTAAACCAACACATTCTCATCCTATGGCGTCATATAGGTGACGCCATATGACATTTCGTCGAAATCTTACGCACATGGCATCCTTTAGCGTCAATATAACACGCACTGTTATGGGTAGGTTTAGGTCTGGGGTAGGGTTACGGTTATGACGCCTTGGGTTCTGCGTCTCATATTGACGCTAAAGGATGCCATGTGCGTCGGATTTCGACGAAATGTCAAAAGCGTCACATGTTTCAGTCTCTGACGCTGTTCACGTTGTAAACACAGTGCAGCGCTTCTGGGTTCTACGTTAGAACGGCTGCTCAGTATTGGCCGGCTCCTGCGTCAGCACCACACGCATGCGTCGAGAAGTTGTTGAGTAAAGTAGTTATGCTTGTTTTTTTGCACTCAAAAAGTATTCTTCATAACATGAAGGTTGAACTGTTCAGTGCGTATGTTACAACATCTACATGATGCACGGGAGTAAGCGACATGTGTCACTAGGCTAATGGAGGTGCCACAACATACGGCGACATGTTCCGCAACAATGTCGGTGGCACATGACAAGTTTTAGTGCCACATGCCACTATCCACTGGCACATGCCAATATGAACCGGATGTGCCACCGAATGTGCTGCTAAGCATAGCAGCATGTGCCAATGGCTTCTGTGCGTAAGATGCCATGCCACTTAATCTTAATACTGCCTCTCTGGTTTTCACTAGCATGTTGAGGACCAGTGCATCTTTGAGCCTACATTCAGTACGCGTAAAATACTTTAATACTGTTCAAATCAGACACTCTAACCCCTGGTTTCACAGAGCTAGTCCCAGACTAAAATGCATGTTTGATCTGTTTTAACTGAAATACTATTGATTTCTTGTATTTGATTTTGATATTTTTTTTATGAAACATAAATGAAAAACCCTTTCCGTCTTCTGAGCTTTGAAAGAATGACATGTGAGCAATCAGAAGGGTGAGAATGATGCTGTAACAATGTCTAGAGGAATATTCAGCCCAATCTGGCCGTGTGTACCCACACAGACACCCACCCGCCCACCCACACACCGACAAATGGTGGGAGAGGAAAAATGTTTCCAGCTTCCTAGTGTTTACGCTTCCCCACGCATGACGCAACACATAATCAGCACAACACACACACACACACACGTCCATGCTCCCTCCCCCAACACATGACGCGCAGGCCGAAGTGGGAGAGTGATGCATGGGGGACTGAAGACATGCACGACTCACCGTACACACGCTCACTGGCAGAAACAGGCTCTGGGGAAATGTGACTCTCTCTCTGGCTGTCTTGATCTGGGTGTTTCAATGGCAGAATTCTGTCTGCCCAGTGGCAGAATGGATAAATGGGGTGAATTTCTTGTTTACGTTAACATTACTGCAGTAGAGCCAAATTAATTTCGGCAACATATGTTTCCAGACGATTCCTGGCTCTCAACACACACCTAACTCAAAACAGTTGTATGTCCTTTACGAAATTATTTTATCTCAACACAAACCATTAACTTCATGCTAATGTAGGAAATCATATTGTATTAAAGGAATAATTTAGGCAAACATATGAAAACTGATTGTTCTATCTTTATATCATTCTATCTATCATGCTATATATCGTTCTGTCTATCTATCCATCATATCGTTCTGTCTATTGTTCTATCTTTCGATCTATCAATCTTTCGATCTATCTATCTTTCTATGTATTGTTTTGTCTATCTCGTTCTGTCTATCTATAAATCGTTCTGTCTATCTATATATCGTTCTGTCTATCCATCAATCGTTCTGTCTATCGTTCTATCTATCATTCATCTATCATTCATCTATCAATCATTCCATATCTATCATTCTAAATATTGTTCTATGTATCGTTCTATCATTCTAACTATCGTTCTATCCTTCTATTTATCGTTCTTTCTATTGTACCTTCAAACTTCAAAAACCATCAAACTTTGTATGTTGACTCATCAAAGCCCTGTTTTAAAAGTCTTGACGTTAAAAATTACAGTTAAATAAAATAAACTGAAATTCAAAGAAATGTTTTTCTTCTTCCTTAACTTTCAATTTGAATTGCATTTCTGCATCCTGTTTTCTACTGTAATTTTAATTCAAATCAATTTAATTCAAATCAAATGCATTAATTAGATTGTAATTTAAAATGCATTCTCAGTTCAGTTCTGAACTCCTGTTTCTGGGTGAACTATTCCTTTTTCTCCTTACCAATTTTATATCCTTAAACTTGGGCAACCAGGTGAAATCCATTAATGATATGGTTTCTAGACGTGCTGAATTTGCTGGAATAGACATTCCTCCTAATTGCATCTGACTCTGCATCATACAGTGAGGTGATGTATGATTATTCCATAAACCATTGCTAGACCATAGCTCAGAATGATTGAGGGGTTATTCTAAAGTGATGAGAATTAATTTACATTGGAAAGGAGTAAATGGCAGTTATAGTTTTGGGTTTAATCCCCAGAGAGATGCTGGAGAGATGCAATCTGTGATGTAGCTTCTTGGCAAATAGTTTAGACTGCTCTTGTTCAGCGCATTGCAGGGTGACAGGCTTGGTCTACTGTCTTGAATGAAATGCTTCTTGTAGAAAACTCGCCTGGGCTGTATGCCAAGCACTCCTGATTTATGTGACCTCAGTCCAACATGGTTTTCAGACTGGCTTCTGAATGAGCAGGTTTCCACTAGAGCAACTAGACATTTTAGAGAAATGTTTGATGAAAGGAAAAAAGAGAGAGATCGAATAAAGAGTCAATGAAATGATTTGATTTGAACAGGTGCAAGTTTGGCTTAGCTTGAAGCCTGATTAAAAGTAAAAGATGAGCACTTACTAAGAAATGTCTAGCCTTCAACAGGGTGTATGTGGTAATAGCCACTAATGATCTGCAAACATTGAAGGCTGTTGGTTTTTATTTACCGGCCCTTTTAAATTAAACGTTTTGAAAATTCAATTCAAATGGTGACGCATATCATGAAAAAGCATCATTGTGTCAAGATGTGGGTTTGTGTCCTGTCATGTTGGTTCCCTGTCTAGTCTATTAGATATCTTTTTTAATGTTTGACTGTTGAACGCTGTTGGTTGTTCCTGTTCCTGAGTCCCGAGTCCTGTATCCAGTCTGTATAGTTTGTAGTTTGTTAAATAAAGCGTGTGCTGCTTTTGGATCCTGCCTCATCTCTGCTTCAACCGCACCACGTTACACATTGCTCATTAAAGAACAGATTAACACTTCATTAGATGTTTATGGATCTTTGCTTCTTTTGTGGTTTAAAGATAAAGCCAAAAACCTTTTGGAAGTTAAAAGGCAGGTAGTTCTGAAATACTTTAGCAAAGTGATTCTTCAATGGTTTCGCTTCAGATTAGCGATCCGACAGCACCATATTTGTTTATTGCACAAAAATAAACTTTTAAAAAAAAATGTCAATGAACTGCATTGGCCCTAAAATAATTATTAAAATGACAAGACGAGAGGAAACATGACAATTTTGTAAACGCGTTAACAATATTTGCCGCAAATGATAGGTGAATTTGTGTCAAAATACAGTAAACTTTGATTGAACACACAACCTTTGACAGCAACAAGAAAATATATGTAAAGTGTTTTCTCCTCTCTTTTAATAGTTGATAATCCTAATTGTTGTGACATGCTACAATTATAATACACCCCCAGCAGTTGTGAACCACTGCTTTAAAGACAGTAGGAAAGTAGAGATCTTATATTGGCCATGTTACTGAAATATTTGAAGTCTGTGGATTGCTGAGAGCTCTATTCTGAAGAGGGATGGGGCAGCAAGACTCAGGTTATGGTACTGGCATGCCGGCACTGATGGTTTTTTATGGATTGACCATTAGCACTAGAGTGGAGCACATTAGATTCTCTCAGGACCATGACTGATTCTGCCAGGCAAAAACCTATAATGCAGACAGAGAAAAGCAGGCTTCTCTCGCTGCCTGAGAACGGAGAGATGATGGATGTGAGTGAGTATGCACAGATAAATGACAAGGAGAGAGAGAGAGAGAGAGAGAGAGAGAGATGAGGAATTGTCATACCCTATCAATGTTTACTGTGAATTTGAAGGTGAACTGATTTAGGCCATTGCCACAGGCTCAGTGTTTCTGACTGCAGTTGACCTTCTATATTAGTAAACATAAACCAGATTGCATTTTGTAGCAGCATGTATCCCGTATTATTATTATTATTATTATTGGTTATTTTTTTTATTTGGTAACACTTTATTTTACAGTGTCCTTGTTACATATGTTACTTACTTACCATAGTAATAACAGTAAATTATGCATAGTTACATGAAACTAACCCCCAACCAAATCCTAATCTGACCCGAACCCCTATAATAAATACATGTAGTTGCTTACTATTACTCAGTACTTAAATATATAATATATTTAATATAATATATATAAATATATTATATTACACTGTAACAATGACACCTTAAAAAAGTGTAATTTGTTTTACACCTTTATTTTAAGGTGATGTATAGTTACATTGTACTTACTCAAATAAGTACTGAGTAATATTAATTAACTACATGTACTATAGAGTTACGGTTGTAATTATGGATAATTTACTGTTATTACTATAGTAAGTACATGTAGTAACGTGGAACTACATACCTTAAAATAAAGTGTTACCTTATTATTTGTTCGTCTTTTGCACCCTGTTAGTAACATTTATTTATTCATTTAAAAAAAATGGTTATCCTTTCTTACCATGCTTATGAATAATTGCCGAAATATGTTTGTTGCCTAGAAGCGTAATTATATATTGTATATGTTTTTTTGTCTTTCTTTATTCATTAGAAGGATCCACTTTTTTCCAGTATTCAGCTACTTTACATTTCAGATTTAATTTCTAGTCAGATAGAATGTTAACTAGGAGACAATAATATTAAACAATAATATCATCATAATATTGAAACATAGACAAAATAAATATATATTCAAACATGTATTCACATTTCTATTAGCCTATATTATAGAATTTTAATAAAACTGCTTTTAATAAAAGTAACCTTATGGTTGTTATTATGCACTGTCAACATTCGTATCTGTGCAAACGATATCAAACCCCTTACAGATGCCCCAATAAAACGTTAGCCGATTATTAGCGGATAGTCTGTCAAAGACGAATGATTATGTCGCTTTAAATTCAATTTTCGCGAGGCGATGTATGCTGATCACCTGTCATGTGGGGCGCATGCGCAGAGGGGATGATTGTGAAAGCGGGTATGTCCTCAGTTCCTCGTAACCTCCATCCTAGACGCTGAGCAGCGAAGTCCGACTACCAAACAGCACTAGAGAGACAGAAATGGGAGAATAAATAGGGATGCTCTCACGCTGCAGGTAGGATGCTGTTTGTACGACTTCAGCTGCCCGTTCAGATGAAAATAATCGTGCTTTTCCATGTGACCACAGTGGCAGTTTTGATGAAAGATGATTATGGAGTGTGGTAGTAGTGTATGGCTACTTCTAGTCTGGAAATGCTTTCGGCTTCTAGATGCTCTCAGACAGCATGCAAGAAAGCGGTTTTAGTGATGAGGCTGGGAAATCCTCCCATCCTTGGTCAAATTGCAGGGCTTGATCAAGGACGAATGCATCATGATCAGGACAGTGAGGGAACCTCCATTTCTCACCGTTTGGTCTTTTATTTCCTGTTTGAATGCATGTTATGAGGCGAGATCAGTGTGATTACTGCAGATCGTGACCGTCTGAGATTGATCATCTACCATCTACAATCTCATATCGAATAACCAACCTATTCTATTCTATTCTATTCTATTCTATTCTATTCTATTCTATTCTATTCTATTCTATTCTATACTATTTTTTGTCTATTGATGCAAAAAAAAAGGGGGGAAAAAACACTTTTTTTTTTGTAACTAAAACATCCAACCCTTTAAATTATGAAACATTAAGTTTTCTTTCACATAAGATTGCAAAACACCCATTTGTGTTTTACACATGCAGCGAAGGTTTTCCAACCCGGATATGCCGACGGATTATTTCTGTAGACGGGCTATAGCCTATAGATGTTGGTTTTGAAGGAGCAGAGCAGAAAATGTCAATATATATTTGTAGGCTGTCTGAAGAGCACAATGTGACTATTTAACATTAATATCAGGTTATCGATGTGATTGAAATGTTGACGGCGCGCTCTCTACTGAAAAACAATCATGCGTTTGCAAAAAAAAAAAAAAAAAATACACACAGAAAACCCACTCTTTGACTCTTTAAAGTTTCTCATCATGAATGTGTCCGCATAGAGTTACTGCTGTGAATGGTATACCGTGTTGTATTTCACGCTAAAAGGCAGAGCAACGTGATGCATGCGCTGAGCGTAGAACGCTGTCCAAGGTGCTGAAGGGAAACGTCCAAACACTGTCAATTGCAGGGGAATGCAGTCACGCTTAACACGAAACATCAGAGTTTTATTGCTGTTACATATATTAATGCTACATTTTTAAGCTGTATTACACATGTGGATGAACAACAGATGTAGTAAAATTGCCATTGCCAAATTGTCTTTAGAATTGTCACTGTAACTGCACTCGTAATTTGTATGGGCAGTTATTAAACTTTAAATCAACTTATTCAACCTATAATTATTTGTATGCTATGGCCTATTATATGTTGCAGATATCGAATGCATTCTGGCATAATGCTATTCGGAAGACCACAGATCATGGAATCTATATACAATAATTATGGAAAAATTATCTTATGAATTATGAAAAAAACTATTTGCTTTGTTATTTACCATTTTAATAGATGTCAGTGTGATTAATGGAGATCGTGACTGTATAAGATTGATCATCATCTACCACCACTACATGCTAGCTACCGATTACGCATTGTAAAGTTCATGACTGTTTTTGGTTTTTTGTTTAATCTTATTTGCTACTTTTGCGTTAATTAGGTTTTTACCTGCTTTGAAGATGACTTACAGTAGCTAGACTTAGCATGCCTGAAAATAACAACACTTTTAGACCGAGTACTCTTCCCATTTTACTCCATTTTGCTGAACATAAAATATTTCAGAGACATTTGTAATTGTTTTTAAATCATTTTGTTTTTGGAGTCTGGAACTACTAATATTTTGATTTGATAATGAATATTTTATAATGTGTCTGTTTGTGTGTGTGTGTGTGTGTGTGTGCATTAAAGGTATGTATGCATTAAAGACACAATAATGTGTGACTTCTCTCTTTTCATTGTCCATTTTCTATTTCCTAAGGGACACTGGAGGTAGATGTGAGGGATAATTGCAACTGGTGAGAGAAGCCCTCCACTGGGCCCCTCCATCCCAGCCCTCCCTTACACCAACATTCCCCACAGCCAACATGTTCTCCTCCAACTTTCTGAGTGGAGGGAATCCTCTAAGTGCGATGTCCTCTGCTGTGAACAAGTTCAGTCTTTTTGGGGATGAGGCACCTGAGGAAAAGCAACAACAGCAGCCTACAGGTCCTTCAAAGCAGAAGGATCCTCAACAGCAGGGGAACGGCCAACCAGCCTCACAGGGACCTCAGAGGCAAAGTGGACAGCAGCCGCAGGGTGTGGGACGGGGAGCCCAAGGAGCTGTACGGGGTGGATCTCAACCACTAGGAGCTGGACGGGGTGGACCTCAACCACAAGGAGCTGGACGTGGTGGACCTCAACCACAAGGAGCTGGACGAGGTGGACCTCAACCACAAGGAGCTGGACGTGGTGGATCTCAACCACAAGGAGCTGGACGGGTAGGATCTCAAACACAAGGAGCTGGACTGGGAGGATCTCAACCACAAGGAGCTGGACGTGGTGGATCTCAACCACAAGGAGCTGGACGGGGAGGATCTCAACCACAAGGAGCTGGACTGGGAGGATCTCAACCACAAGGAGCTGGACGAGGAGTTCCTATACAGCAAGGAGCTGGTAGAGGTCTCCCACAGCAGGGAGTGGGGAGGGGGGGATTGCCACAAGGAGCAGGTGGGGGTGGATCTCCTAAGCAGGGTGTTGGGAAGGTTGGACCTCAACAACAAGGCCCAAGAGGACCTGGGTCTCATCCAGCAGGTGCAGCTGGGTCAAGGCCTCCTTCAGCAGAGCCTCAGGTGAAAGATGGAGCTGGGGTGAAATCCCTCTGTCCAGTCTGTAAAAATACAGAACTCAGTTTTAAGTCCAAGGATTCCCCCAACCATAACACCTGCACACAATGTAAATCAGTGGTCTGCAACATGTGTGGGTTCAGTCCTCCAGATGCAACTGTGAGTACAAATTCCTAAGCATGATACATAAAGCAGTGGTATTTGATATGCATGACTCTTTCTTTTGCGCTCGTTTTAAATTAAAATAGAAAAAGAATCAAGATATTTTATATAATAGTGTTATTTTATATAATCAAGATATTTTATGCAAATAGACCACTCTAGATTTACCCATCAGTTTATACTATCAGGCGATGGTCACCATTATAATTCCAGAGTGCACTCTCTCTGAAGCATGCTTTATTGGACTATGATGGATGCTGACGATTTTTTTATAATACCTTTTTAACAAAGTCATACTACATATTCTTTGTTGATTTGAATTTTTAAGTTAAAAACTAGCGATTGTATAACAGACATTTGTATCCTCAATGTACGCAGGCTAAGGAGTGGCTTTGCCTGAATTGCCAGATGCAGAGAGCTCTGGGAGGGGCAGAAAGTAGTGAACCTCCTACGCTAAAAGCCCAGCCACAGTCCAAGGTCTCCGTACCATCACAGAACCCCGCAAAGAAAGACACACCTCATAGTAAGCAGATGCCTCCATCTGCCAGCCAGCCAACCAAACCAACAGACGGTCAGAAACCGTCAAGCCAGTCTAGCACAAGTGCAGCTCATCCATCGCCGCAAACGTCACAACAAAAACTTCTTCCACAGCAGGCAACAAAAGATGCTCCTCCTGCCAAAAGTGAGCCACCATCAAAGACTGAGCCCCCTAAAAAAGAAGAAGAGTCCAGTTTCTTTGGTTTTGGTTTTAGTGGCGCTCGATCCCGCTCTCCCTCTCCACAGCCTGGTGCCTCTTCTGTTTCTGGGAAGGTTCTAGGCTTCGGTTCTTCGTTCCTTAGTTCAGCATCCAATTTGATTTCGGCTGTCCAGGATGAGCCCTCGACAACTCCACCAACCTCTCGAAAGGGTTCTGCCGTTTCCCAAACTTCTGCCAAGACCACCACACCCCCTTCTACCAGAAAAGATTCAGAGGGCTCTAAGGGCCCCCCCAATCATCCTAAATCACAGACACTGGAAGGAAAAAAGCAACAGCAACAAAATAAACCCCAAGACACTCAAAAACCAACGACAACGAAGGAATCCTCATCTGCTCAGGCTACTAAAATAGATCAAAGCCCGAAACTTCTTCCCAAAGCCTGTCCACTTTGCAAGGCAGGCCTGAGAAGAGATCCTCCCAACTATAGTACCTGCACTGAATGCAAGGCCACTGTGTGCAATCAGTGTGGATTTAATCCTGTGCCTCATCAAACGGAGGTAAGAAACAGATGAATGTATTTTCTTGCAGTAGGTTCACATTATGGTTTGTGCAATGAACTGTGGGCAGGAAATGTCAAGAGCAATTTCAGAGGACATGTTCTGGGTGATTCCAGTGATTCTGTTGTAAAAGATGGATGTATTTTCTAGTCTCTTTGGTTTGTGTGGAGGCAGTCTTGTGGAAGGCAGACCGAAAATGGCTGTGAGAGAGACAAAATGTGCCTTGATTCTCAATTGCCTCAGACTACTCCCAGCCTAAACTTACAAAAATAAAGTGCTTACACTCTCAAGGCAGAAAAGAAAACATCAATGTGCATATTATTCACATTGTTTCCTCCTTTTTTAAGTTATGCTTTAACATGATTTACAGATCCATTAAGGTTTTGGCCTTTTGGGTGATAAGTAGATATTATGAATGAATAGACATTCTTTGCTTTGTGACTCGTGTTATGACGTTTAATGATCTATCTGGGTCAAACATTGCAGTTAGTGGCTTTTCTATTTTACATGCAAACGTTCCACGCAGTGTGTTGCTTTCAGCCACTTTCCAGACCCAGCAAAGCTATCAAGATAGTCAAGACTGCTTGGGGAGATAGGTTCATGATGATCTCATGGGCTTTATTGTTGTCTGTTTTGATCCAAGAGGATATGTAATTCTCCTTTTGCATCAGAAGTTAGTAGATCTACTGTTTCATTGTAAACTTAACTGTCTATCATGTCTTTTATTTTGAAGTTAGTTATTTCAAGTCTTTTATTTAGAAAACCTTTTGCCAATGTTTCTGGTTTCCCTTTACAAGTTCCTTTATGTGTCTTGTTTTTAATTATTTATTTATTTATTTAGTGCTCAAATATAGATGGTCCTAGTAATTGCCATGTGTCATATGCCATTTTATTTGGTTTCACTTTATTTTGATGGTCCCTTTAACACATTCTGTTTACTATAAGTAACGTTGCACCTACATGTCTACTAACTCTCATTAGAGTGTTGAGTATTAGTAGACTGGTAGGGTTAGATTAAGTTGACATGTAGTTCCAAAATTACTTCTAGTCAGTAGTAGAGTGTCTGTTGGAGGACCATCACAATAAAGTGTTTGCAGATATTAAGCAGACAGTCTACTAACACTCTAATGAGAGTTAGTTGACATATAGTTGCAAAGTTACTTAACAGCACGTTCAAAAGGGACCATCAAAATAAAGTGTTACCCTAAATTTTCCTGACAATGTTTTTTTTTATTTTTATTTTTACCACTCATTAAATGTCCCTACTACCAGACTGGTTTCATCACTGAAATAGGTGTCCTGAGAAAATATAAATATATTTATATATTTGTGCCTGTCGTAAGACATTTATTATTTTATTTTTATATTAATCTGAAAACTAGTCAGAAGCACTCTGGGTTTGGTTGAAGTTAGCCAAAACATCTGAAATCACTTTCATCGTGCTTAACATTAAGTTTTGTTGGTTACTTTCCAGTAGTGTTGGGATTACTATTTTATCCTGAATGTTGGCATGTCATACTGAATATTTTAGGGTTTGTTAGGTACAAATTTCATTTTTACAAATATCATAAATGTCAGTTTGTAGCAGAAATAATGTTTGTGTAGATTTGACAAAACACAGACTAACTTTTGTTTCATCTTTGGCCATCAGGTTTTATATTAAGGGAATAGTATAGTCAAGGCCAGGGATGTATCATGTGCTTAGTCTTAGCAGTGAATCTGCTGTAATAATATATGTTCCCTAGAGAACCCTTATCACCTCTATTGTCATCATCTGGAAGCCCTGGGCATACCAGACTGGCCCCTAAATGGCCATTTCATATTTTAAGATGTGTTGAGCAAAAAAAACCTATTGATTCTGTAATTAAACATTCAGACTTTACGTGCAGCCTGGCAAGGAGACCCCAAGGCTATTGGGTCACATGGACCAGCTGTGTGACGAAAAAACAACAGGCAGAGGATCAGTGGGCAGTCCTCAAAGTTAAAATCTAAGACTTTTCCAAGAGAGTTAAAAAACACAGAGATGAGGTGTAGATTACAGTGGCATCTGCTACTCTATTGTGCTCAGTGTCAAGCACAGGTTGTTGGAATGAGATAATAGTGAAAATAATAGCTCTACAATATGGAGGTCACCTTCATTCATGGCAACAACTGTGTGTTTGGTGTTTTATCATGAAACATTCAAACCTGGGAAGCCTTAAGCCTTCTCTTGCCTTAAGTCTAGAGAATGAGCAAATTCAACACATCTGTGTTTATTTTTAGTCAATGCTAAAATTATCTAAACGATTTAGTTTCCTTATTCCTAAAAAAAATAGTGCTGCTGGCTTTCTCCAGAGATTAAATTTAGGCTTTAGGGTGAGCTGTGTGCTTGAAGTGTGCATGCAGCACAAATATTGCGATACAGAGGGAAATTCATTTAACCCTCAGCTCACACTCTGAGAATGTTGAGGGATATTTACAGTTCGATTTCACCAACATGACACAACACTGTCACTGCCTACTGCAATGCAAATTTAAAACATTTATGCAATATTTTACTTGTAATATTTTGTGTGTGTGTGCAGTATATGTACATATATACGCTGATGTAAATAATACTACTGTGGGTAATCAATGTTTGTTGTTTATTTTTTTATTTGTAACAAAAAAGAGCCCATTCACTAAATGTTTCAAATGATTTTCATTGTAGCCAAATGGGACTTTGAAGATCTTCAGAGGACTGCTCTGAAATTAAAATATTTGTTTCAGCATTCTAGTTTACTGGAAAGACCCTTTTAAGTCAGATCAACTGCACTCTAGACTTCTAAAACATGCATTTTCAGAATAATAAAACATTTACGAGTGTCTTAAGGCTGGTTTGAGGTGAACATATACTGTGGTTTCACCTTCTAGCTTACTGGGAATGCATTTATAAAAGTAGTCATGTAGTCCTCTAGCAGAATATGCATTTTCAGTACACATTACAGACAACTGTAAAGTATACTGAAAATGCATATTCTGCTTCCCATATTCTGTAAGGGCTGGTCTGACATGAACATATTCAAATTTAATCTTGCTAGAAAGAATTCTCAAGAAGTCAAAGACTTTGCAACATTCTTTCTAAAAGTCACCAAAGCAAAATATGCATGAACGTCATGATTTTTATCTGTTCTAAATATTCAGATATTAATATTAATAATCAAATTCAAAATGAGTCGGCATTCAGAAATGTCTATTAAAAGAAGATATTTTATTAATAGCAACAATAGCCGTGTTTCCATTACAGATTTGCGCAAAACTTTTGTGAAATTTTCTAAATGTCGATAAAAAACTATTGCGAAATGACGCCGTTTTAATTAACCGATGTCATGCGACTAAAACTTAATTTTTTCCTCCCGTGATAAGTCATTCCAAAAATCATGGCAACGGATGTTGGTAGGTTTACGTATATCCCAGCTACCGCAGTAGCGATTATTTTTAATTGTAGGAGACGTAGGCATGTTATCCAAGCATTAATGGCGTTAATTTTTTGCGAAATATGGGAGTTTTTGCGAAATTGACATGTTTCCATTGGGTGTATTTTCAATTTTCAATTTCAATTCGCACAATTTGAAGGGTAATGGAAACGCAGCTATTGAAATAAATGAATAGACATTTTCAGAGTGCAGACCAATTTTCTCTTTTTATTATAAAAACAACTTAAAAGACCAAAAAAAAGTGAGAGAGAGAATACAGTATATCACCAATTGTTGAGTCTCTGATGGTTTTTACATATTTTTGCAAAGCAATGAGTAGTAATGTTATGATATCTGCTTGTGGTCAACTTACACCAATCCTGCAAAATCTTTTTTTTTCTCATTTGTTTTTAATGTTACAAAAAAGAAACAATGTGAAGAAATTACTTATAATAGATTTTTTTTGCAGGCAAAAGAATGGCTTTGCTTAAACTGCCAGACACAGAGAGCGCTGAAAGGAATAGAGCCTCCAGGACAACCCACTGTAAAGCCCAGCAAATCTCAAAAAATGGATTCTACACTTGGTCCTTTAGAGAAACAGCCCAATGCTTTGCCAACAAAGGCTAGTCATGCCACCCAACCTGCTGCTCATAAAAAGGAGATGCATGAACAACAGACTAGTGCAGAAGGAGCAAAGCAAGCTCCCTCCCCTAAACCTTTACCGCAGCCGACAGCAAAAAATGCTCCCTCTTCTTCCGTGTCTAAAGCAGCACCAAAGGCTGAGACTGAGCAAGAACAGTCAGGATTTTTCAGCTTAGGCTTTGGTGGAGCCCGGTCACGATCACCATCCCCTCAGCCCGCTGTTTCCGCCATGTCTGGTAAGGTCCTAGGATTTGGGTCCTCATTTCTGAGCTCAGCATCTAATCTTATTTCATCAGCAGTTCAAGATGAACCTTCTACGACACCACCAACTAATCCCCAAGCATCTTCAGTCTCTCAAACTTCTCCCAAGACCACTACTCCACCAATGTCTTACAAAGGCTCCACAACATCACAAGGGGCTGCAATATCAGAGTCTACAGGAAAGGCTAATGAATCAGTTGGTCATAAAGAAGAGAAAAAGACAGAGCCAACTGCTGACCAAAACAACAAAGCACCAATATCTAAAAAATCTGAACCTTCTTCAGAGATGCCAAAAGCAGTCAAAGGCCCTCAACCCCCACCCAAATCCTGCCCGCTCTGCAAGGTAGAAATAAAAAAGGACCTAGTTAACTACAGCACCTGTACTGAGTGCAAAAACACTGTGTGTAATCTATGTGGATTCAACCCAACACCCCATCAAACAGAGGTAACATTATGTTGGCTTTTAATACTTTTGAAAAGTTTTTGAATGATGCATGTGTACACGAGTTAACCAATTTGTCTTATTTATTCAGTTGAAAGAGTGGCTTTGTCTAAACTGTCAGACACAAAGAGCTCTCAAAGGAATGGAGCCACCAGGACCTACAAAGTTGGAGACCGCAGAACAGCCCAACAAAAACCTTGTTTCTCAACCACTGGCTTCACCCTCAATCCAAAAGAAAGGTGCTTCTGAATTGGACAAGTTTGACAAGAAAACTGACCCTGGTCAGAAATTATTACAGGACCAACAAAGCAAGGCTCCGAATGGTACTCTGCCAATCCAAAAAGCCCAGCAGCAAGAAAATAAAGCCAAATCTGAAGTCCCTGCCAAAACAGCAAAGGAAGAATCTGGATTTTTTGGTTTTGGAGGTGTTAGGTCAAGGTCTCCATCTCCTCAGCCTGCTGTGTCTGCTGTTTCTGGGAAGGTTCTTGGCTTTGGCTCTTCCTTTCTCAGCTCAGCATCTAATTTAATATCTTCAGCTGTGCAAGATGAGACATCTACAACACCACCAACCTCCCGCAAAGCTTCAACAGTTTCCCAGAACTCAACACCACCCACGTCTCGAAAGAGCCCTGCTGTTCCACAGACCACAAACACAGGGGACATAAAACAACCTACCACACAAAAACAAGACACACAGATATCTGAGTCACTTAATCTAGCCAGCAAATCTTCTGTTAAAGCAAAACCAGACCAATCAGTGTCTGTGGAAGTTGATAAAACTCCCCTGCCTCTTCCCAAAATCTGTCCACTTTGCAAGGCAGATATTACCAGTGATCCTCCTAACTTCAGCACCTGCACTGATTGCAAAAACATTGTGTGTAACCGTTGTGGATTTAACCCCATACCTCTTCAAAAGGAGGTAAGATGAGATGTTTCTTTTACTCTTTTGGTCATATTCATTTTTATTGAAGAACAGTAATGTTGATTTGTGGTTGTGATTTTGGCCATGCAGGTGAAGGAATGGCTTTGTTTGAGTTGCCATATAAAGAGAACACATGAGCCTTCGACTCTAAATCCCCAGCTACAGGCTAATACTTACTCGCATCAAGACAAAACAACTCCATATCAGCCTCATCCAGTAGACAGTAGAACTGAGGACAAGTCAAAAACAGTACTTGGAAAATCCACTTCTACGTCTACAACACAAAATCCCCCAAAGGAAAAAAAACCTGCACAAAAAGAAACTCTAAAACCTCAACAGCCAAAAGATGGTACTGCTTTAGCCAAATCCGAAACTACAACAAAAAAAGATTCTTCTAAAGAAGATACTGGTTTCTTTGGCTTTGGTTTTAGTGGTGCTCGATCTCGATCCCCTTCGCCTCAACCTGTTGTCACTGAGAAGGTTCTAGGCTTTGGTTCCTCCTTCCTCAGCTCAGCATCTAATCTTATATCTTCAGTAGTTCAGGATGAATCCTCCACAACACCACCAACACCTCGTAAAGGTTCAACAATTTCCCAGACCTCTGTGAAGTCTACGACGCCACCCGTCTCTCGTAAGGGTTCATCAGTTTCACAGACGTATCTCAAAACCACATCTGCTGTTGAAACAGCATCTTCATCTCGCAAGGAATCTACAGCATCTCAGGACTCAACAAAAATGCAGGCTGGGGAAAGTAAACCTCTTTCTCAAAAGCAACTGGAAGACAAGAAGTCCCTGCAACCTCAACCTTTCAAAGCACCATCTACACCTCCATCAAAGCCTCAACAAGCTGATAAGTCCTCTCAGTCTCATCCTAAAGAATGCCCACTTTGCAAAGTGGAGCTCAAGAAAGATCCTCCTAATTTCAACACCTGCACTGGATGCAAGAGCATTGTATGCACATTATGTGGGTTTAATCCCATGCCTCATCAAACCGAGGTAAGATTATTTAGAATTTGCTAAATGAGCTGTGGGCTCTACTGTATTAACCTTTAATAGAAAATTCCTTTGACAAAATTATCATTCCCCAGCTAGTTCACCAACATTGTTATGGACATTTTTGTATTATCAAATCTGTGTTTCTTAACATTTGTTTAAGAGAAACCTGTGTGAAAATAATTTTGTCTGGAGTTTCTCAGCCTCTCTCATTTGTTGGCAGGGAAAGGAGTGGCTTTGCTTGACCTGTCAAGTGCAGCGGGCATCAATGCCTTCCAATGCAGAGCAAGCTCAAGCTAAGAAAGTCGACCAAGTGCCAAAGGAGCAGCAAGATGTTCTAGAATCCATGCTGAAGAAACAAAATGCAGAGGAAGTCACCAATACTGGTCAGAAAATAGCTGTAGTTGGGGGAAAGAAGCCCACTGATGTTTCACCACAACAGCTGAATCAACCTAATACCTCACAGCAGATGAAATTGGACAAGCCTCAAGAAAAACAAACCAAACTACCACCAAAGGCTCAACCTCATCAAGAGGAGTCTGGATTTTTTGGTTTTGGCTTTGGTGGGGCCCGATCCAGGCCTCCTTCTCCTCAGCCTGCTGTTTCTGCTGTGCCTGGGAAAGTTTTAGGCTTTGGTTCATCCTTCCTTAGCACAGCCTCTAATCTGATATCATCAGCTGTTCAAGATGAACCCACAACACCACCAACCTCCCGCAAAGGTTCATCAGTTTCAGAAACCACAGCTCCCCCCTCCCCCCGTAAAGGCTCTGCAATGTCTCAGTCATTGTCCAACAGCAGCACCTCATCTAGCTTACAAAAAGGTTCTGAGACCATGCAAGGTTCGCCGAAAGCTTTACGTAGTACAGATACTAAACATTCAATTGGACAGAAACAAGAGGAGCAGACAGCATTACTTCAACAGGCTAAGGAGTCATCAAATAAAGTGAAAGAGGATAAATCAGAGACACCAAAGGATTTATCCAAGCCTCTTCCCAAGGTCTGCCCACTTTGCAAGGTGGAGCTCAAGAAAGATCAATGGAACAGCTGCACAGAATGCAAAAATATTGTATGTAACTTGTGTGGGTTCAACCCCATTCCCCATCAAAATGAGGTGAGTAAATACTACTGTTGTGTTGAAAATGTCTTTAAAACAATATTTTAGTTTGTTAAATTCAACATGATACGGAGGTGCATTGACATGCATTAAGGGAATAAATAGTGTCAATTTTGAGTTAATGCTGACTTAAATGAAAATCTCTATCATTATAATATTGGCATCATAATGCAGTTTTTGCATAAACAGTTTCATGTTGACAGGATAGCTTGTAATGCTCATCTCTTCTTTATTCTAAATTTGAGCTACCTTGGAATATTGCAAGTTAATAAGCATTGTGGTTTAGTCCACTGAACTCGTGGATGCTATTTAGCTTGCTTAATATACACAATGTGATTTTAAGTTGCAAAATTATTAATACATTATGCTTTACAAACTACAGGTGATGTGGCTTTGTTTGGCATGTCAAATGCGGAAAGCACCAGAACCTCCTCCTGTGCAGCTTCAGTCACATGCTAAGGAATTTGAACCAGTTAGAATGGATATTCCCACTTCAGATGCTTCACAGAAAAAGCCACATCCTCCAGCAGAGACAGTTCAAAAGGATAAGAAACCAGAATTAGCAGGGAAACAAGACAATAAGCTAACTTTAAAAGAAACAGAACAACCCAGCCGAGAAACAAAAAGAAAGCAACAGCATACTGCAGAAGTTACAAATTCAGAATCTCAAAAAATAGATCCGCAACAAGACAAATCTGGATTATTTGGGTTTGGTTTTGGTGGAGCTAGATCTCGATCCCCTTCTCCTCAGCCTGCTGTCTCTGCTGTCTCAGGGAAAGTTCTAGGATTTGGTTCCTCCTTCTTAAGCTCAGCATCTAATTTAATCTCGACAGCTGTTCAAGATGAATCCTTCACAGCACTGTCTAGTTCTCGCAAGGCTTCAACAGCTTCTCAAATTTCTGATAAGACACCACCAACCTCTCGCAAAGGTTCTGCAGTTTCTCAAATCTTCGATAAAATTAATTCCAGTCCACCTTCCTCTCGCAAGGGTTCTGAAGTTTCGCAGACATCTTTTAGAATGAGTCCTCCAACCTCACGAAAGGGGTCTGAAGCTGCCGTAAACTCTAAAAACAATATTGACAATACAGATGGGACAAAAAATAAGGTTGCAGAGAAAGGTGAAGAAACCACTAAAGGAGCAACACCACAGCAACAAGAACAAGGAAAGATGGAAGATGAAGCTGTGTCTGTGTCCTCTGAAGTGTCTAGAGGTAGATCTCAGTCTCCTTTAGTTCCACCTGCAGCATCTGCTGTCTCTGGGAAGGTCTTAGGATTTGGTTCCTCCTTGTTTAGCTCAGCAAGTAATCTGATCTCATCAGCTCCAGACGAGCCTTCAACAACACCACCCACTTCTCGCAAAGGTTCCACAGCTTCCCAGCTATCTGCTAAGACTACAACACCACCTTCTTCTCGTAAAGGCTCATCTGTTTCCCAGACTTCAGACAAGAACATCACTTCACCTTCCTCACGAAAGGGCTCTGAAGTTTCTCTGACATCTCTCAAGACCAGCAAACTTACCACTTCTCAAAAAGTATCTGATGCCTCTCCTAAAATGCATCATTCAGATGACAAAAAAGTACATCCTGAAAATATAGAAGAGCACAAAACAGAAGAGAAATCAGTCAGTCTGGCACAGTCAACAACTGTATCAGTAACAAAAGATACAGCTGTACCTGAAACAACAAGTACAGAGTCCACTAAATCACTTCCCAAAGCCTGTCCTCTCTGTACGGTTGATTTGCAGAAGGAGCCTCCCAATTATGATACCTGTACCGCGTGCAAAAACACTGTGTGTAATCTATGTGGCTTTAACCCTATGCCGCACGAGACAGAGGTAAGCAGCCCTTTTTACATTGAAAAACATAAAAAAACACCTTATGCACATTATTAGAATTATTATCTTATTAGTACTTTAGTAGTATTTGGGTATTTGACATTATGGACAACAGCATTTATAACCTCATATTACATTAAAGATATAGGTAAATATAGGTATATAGTATACAGTAATATTTGTCACACCACAAAACTTGTTAAAGGTTTCTAAAACTTAATAAATTTCATTTATAATACATATCAATATATGGTTAAATGTGTATTGTTACTTTGTAAAAAAAAAAATATATATATAGTACCATTATATAGTTTTGTATATCATTAGATGCATGTTAATTTTTTTGCATTCTAGTTCTTCTCTTTGTGATAAAATGACCACAGTGCTAGTGGATACTAATGCTTATTCTTAAGCATCCTCAATACCAAACTGATTATTGAAATGTTGTTTCAGAAAAAAGAGTGGCTATGTCTGAACTGCCAGATGCAAAGAGCGCAAGCTGAGGCTAACAAAGTACCTCCACCGGTATCACCACTAAAAAAAGTGACACCAGCTCCTGTTCCTCCACAGAAGAAGCCACTTCATGACTCCATAGATGCCACTGAAAAAGAAAAGACTGATCTATCTGCAGGTACAACACCAGGGTCTACTAAGGAAAGTTCAGTTCCATCAACACAGAAGCCACCTCAGCAGCAGGACATCAAAAGCCCAGTACAGCCAGCACAGAAGGATGATAATGTATTCACAAAATCTACTGCACTGACAAAGACTGCATCCACAAAAGAAGAGAGTGGCTTTTTTGGTTTTGGACGCTCTAGATCACCATCTCCCCAACCTGCTGCTCCTAGTGTTTCTGGAAAGGTATTTGGATTTGGTTCTTCACTCTTGAGTTCAGCTTCTTATCTTATATCCACTGCTGTACAAGATGAATCCTCCACAACACCTTTTGCAACACAGGGGGTTTCAGCAGCTTCTCAAACTCCTGTGAAGACTACATTAACACCAGCTACTTCTCAGAAAGGATCAGCTGATTTGTCACCTAAACATGTAGCTAAATCTGTGGAAGAGAAGCAGAAAGACCAGAAACCAGAAGAGAAAATGACAAAAGTTCAGGAAAAAGCTGTAATAAAAAAGAATGACGACAAATCAGAGCCTCCAAAAACTTGTCCACTTTGTAAGACAGAAATAATAAAGAATCCACCAAGTTACAACACTTGTACTAATTGCAAGAACACTGTGTGTTATCTCTGTGGATTCAACCCAATGCCACACCAAACAGAGGTGAGAATTTTTTTTACAGATTTGTATGTATGTAGTGGTCTTTATTTCTCACAGTATTATATTGTTACCTTTTATCATCACCCTACAGGTGAAGGAGTGGCTGTGTTTGAACTGCCAGATGCAGAGAACTCCCGAACGTTCAGTTGTGCAACCTGGACCACAGACTACTAAATTACTTCCAACTGCATCACCACAAAAACAAGGCATTCTGGGTGTTGTAGCAGAGGATCAGAAACTTAATACTTCTGGGAAACAAGACAAACAGAATCTGGCAGATTCAAAACAACCTACATTAGAATCTCAAATGCAGAAAAGTGATGTCTTTCCTGCCAAATCTGATCAACCATCTAAACCTGAACCTCCTAAACAGGATTCCGATTTCTTCAGCTTCGGTTTTGGTGGTTCTCATTCAAGGTCACCATCTCCACAGCCCACTGTGTCTGCTGTCTCTGGGAAAGTTCTAGGCTTCGGCTCATCATTCCTTAGCTCAGCATCCAATCTGATCTCCTCAGCTGTCCAGGATGAACCTTCTAAAACTCCACCAACATCTCGCAAAGGGTCTACAGTTTCCCAGACTTCACACAAGACCACACCAACACCCCCCACTTCTCGAAAAGGATCAGTAGCTCCCCAGAACACTAAACTAAATCCACTTGCAGTGGAATCAAAGCCAACCTCTACACCAAACAAAGAACAGGAAAAGCCACCAGATGCTCAAACATCCAAACCTCTACAAGCTCAAGTAAAAGAGGAGCCTCCAAAAATCTGCCCACTCTGCAAAGAGACCCTCAAGAAGGACCCACAGAACTACAGCTCTTGCACATCTTGCAAGAACATTGTTTGCAATCTTTGTGGATTCAATCCTAATCCACATCGAACTGAAGTAAGTCTGTTTTATAGTTATTACATGTAAAGGCTCTCGGTTTGGACAAAAAAATAATTGTGTACATATTTCGTAATTTAAGAGACATAGAGGCAAACATATGGTTAAATTTTGTTAGATCAAAGGTGGTACAGATACGGTACATATGTGACTCTTTTTGAGCGTAATCTTTCTTATGATCTACAGGTAGAAGAGTGGCTGTGTTTGACCTGCCAGATGCAGAGAACTGCAGGACCTCCCCCTGGTCAGCCACAACCACAATCTAACAAAATACTTCCACAAGCATTTCCACAAAAAGAAGAAACTTCAGTCTCACCTTCTCCAGAGAAGTCAAGTGTTATAGCTGAGGCAGGCAAGAAAGAGTTTGATACTTCTTCCAATTCTGCTTTACCACCTAAAGATGAACAGCTTAAAGAAGAGTCAAGTTTCTTTGGCTTTGGTTTCGGCGGTGCTCGTTCCCGGTCTCCCTCTCCTCAAACTGCTGTCTCTGATAAGGTTTTTGGTTTTGGATCCTCCTTCCTCAGCTCAGCATCTAACCTGATCTCTTCGGCTGGTCAGGATGAATCCTCCTCCATAATTCCACCAACATCTCGCAAGGGATCTACAATTTCCCAGACTTCAAATAAGACTACACTAACACCACCCACTTCTCGGAAGGGATCAGTTGCTCCTCAGGATGCTAAACAAAAACTACCTGAAAAAGAATCAAAGCCAGCTGCTATATCAATGCAAGAACAAAAGCCAGTAGAGAAAACCCCAGATCCTCAACTGGCCAAACCTCCACATGGTCCAGAGGAGTTTTCAAAAAACTGTCCACTTTGCAAAGAAACCCTTAGGAAGGACCCACAGAACTATAACTCCTGTAGTTCTTGCAAGAAATTTGTTTGTAATCTCTGTGGATTCAATCCCAATCCACATCAAACCGAGGTACCATATGTCAATGTATTTTACAATTATATGTTTAAAGGCTCTTTTAAAAATGCAACTAGGAATTCATTTGTATAGATTTTGACTTGAATAATGTTTAATGGTTTAATTCACTTTTTAAAATAATCAACAGGTGAAGGAGTGGCTATGCTTGAACTGCCAGGTAAACAGAACTTCAGGACCTCCCCCTTCTCAGCCACAATCACAATCTAACAAAATACAACCAGCATCTCCACAAAAGACCCAAGATCAACCTTCTCCAGAAAATAAGCAGAGTGTTCCTGCCGGGCAGGACAAGAAACTTACAGCAGAAACTAAAAAACCTACAATTACTCCTGAATCAAATGCTCAAAAGTCTAAAGGTGATGAATCTCCTTCCAAACCTGCTCTGTCATATAAAGTTGAACAGAATAAGGAAGAGTCTGGTTTCTTTGGCTTTGGAGGTGCTCAATCTCGGCCACCTTCTCCTCAGTCTGCTGTCTCTGAGAAAATTCTGGGTTTTGGGTCCACCTTCCTCAGTTCAGCATCTAATCTGATATCCTCAGCCGTTCAGGATGAGTCGTCCACCAAAACTCCACCAAGTTCTCGTAAGGGATCCACTGTGTCCCAAAGTTCTATTAAGACAACACCAACACCTCCAATTTCTCGAAAAGGTTCAGAAGCTTCACAAGCCTCACAAGCCTCACAAAAAATTAAACTGGCAGAAGAGGCCAAACTTACTGCTGTACAGAAACAGGATGAAAAAAATAAGACAGTGGAGAATAAACCACAAGATAAAATGTCCAAAGAACCAGTCACTAATGTGAAAATTAACAAACCAGCCCTGGAGCTTCCAAAAGCCTGTCCACTCTGTAAAGTGGACTTAAAGAGGGATTCTCCGAATTATAACACCTGCACTGAATGCAAGAACACGGTGTGCAATCTTTGTGGATTTAATCCCATGCCACATCAAAATGAGGTAAGAGTACTTTTTTCTGTGTGAGTTGCACATGCATCAGTTATTGCATTAATTTCTCCTTTATTTCTCCCAATTATTATCCTACAGGTTAAGGAATGGCTGTGTTTGAACTGCCAGGAAAAGAAAGCACAAGGATTTCCCTCTACCCAACCACAGCCCCAGGTTAGCAAAGCATCTCAACCAACAATACCGGAAAAAAAGGAGGCTATCATACCTACTCCAATTTCAGTTTCTCCACAAAATAAGCCAGATGTCATTGAGAAGAAAATGACATCAATTGCTACAGAGAATCAAGAGAACAAACCCACAGAATATGCAACACAACCAACTGAAATGCCAAAACTTGATCCTTCTCCTACAAAATCTGCTCTACCACAGAAACCAGAACCTTCTAAAGAGGAAACAGGTTTCTTTAGCTTTGGTTTTGGTGGTGCTCGATCTGGATCCCCTCAGCCTCCTGGTACTGTTGTCCCTGGGAAGGTTCTGGGCTTTGGATCCTCCTTTTTGAACTCTGCATCTAATCTAATCTCCTCAGCCGTTCAAGATGAGTCCTCAAAACTGCCACCAACTACTCAAAAGGCTTCAACATCTGAAACATCTGCAAAGACTGCATCAATACCACCTGCTAATTTGAAAGGATCTATAACTTCTCAAAAAGTTCCACCTAATGTTGACTCAAAAGCACCTATAACAGAAAAACCGAAGGAGGTAAAAACAGATGAGAAGCAGGTGCAACAGGCTACAGCAGAACCTGAAGCTTTGGTAGTAGCAGCTGTAGCTCCTAATGCAGAGACCAAAACATGTCCTCTTTGCAAAGTGGATCTTAATGTTGGTTCACAGGACACTCCTAACTACAATGCCTGCACTGAGTGTAAGAACATAGTTTGTAACCTCTGTGGATTCAACCCAACTCCCCATCAAACAGAGGTAAGAGAATACTACTATTGGTAACTATATTTAATCATTTAGCAGACAATTTTATCAAAAGCGACTTAAAAATGAGGAGAGCAATAGAAGCAATTAAACTAACTGTTGATAACACTATTTTAATGCAGCAAATGTGTTTACTTACCTATAATAGAGTGCCGTTTTGTTTAGTGGTTTCAAAGAAAAATCAACATCATGTAAATGTTCCATCCATGTCATGGAAGACATAATTCAAGAAATAATTTTTAATCTCTAATTACAGGCCAATGAATGGCTGTGTCTTAACTGCCAGACACAGCGAGCATTAAAAGGAATGGAACCACAAGGACCTTCTAAAATAAAGACCAATGAACAACTTGACAATGTCTATACCACAGCAATGCATCCAAGACCAGAAAGTACAACACCAGGGCCACCATCATTTGTCTCAACCAACATGGTTTCTGATGTTGCTGAAACCCAAAAGAAAGAGATTCAAGCTGTGGCCATCCCTGACAAAACTAAAAGCTCTGTTCCAGTGAATGTCCAAAAGAAAGAATCACCAAAACTACCAGAGAGTAACATAAAAGCACAACCTGCATCCTCTCAGAAGAAAGAAACATCAGATACAAAGAAAGATAAAGAGACTGACACACTCTTAAAAGAGTCTGACAAGTCTCCAGAAAAATCTGCTCCAGCTCCGCAGGCAGAACCACCAAAACAGGAACAGAGTTTCTTTGGTTTTGGATTTGGTGGTCCTAAGGTACAACCTGCTTCCAGTAAGCCATCTGAGTCAACCACTGGGAAACTCTTTGGCTTTGGTGGTCTGACAGAAACAGCTAGATCTCGCTCACCCTCTCCACAGTCTGTTTCTGCTGTGTCTGGGAGAGTTCTGGGCTTTGGATCCTCTATATTCAGCTCAGCTTCTAATTTGATTAGCTCAGCTGTTCAGGATGAGCCTTCCACAACACCACCAACTTCTCGAAAAGGATCCATAGCTTCCCAGATGTCTGCTAGGAATACTCCACCCTCATCTCGCAAAGGATCTACAGTCGCACCAGACACTAGTAAAATTCCACCTGTTGGAGACACTAAACCACATGCAGCACAAGATGCAGTAAAAACAGTGGAGAAGAAACCAGAAACTAAGCAAGTCACAGCACCCAAACCACCCCAAAAACCTGATCCTAAAGAAGTCAAGACCAATTGCCCATTATGCAAAGTGGAACTCAACATTGGTTCTAAGGATGCCAAGAATTTTAACACATGCACTGAATGCAAGACAACAGTATGCAGCCAATGTGGATTTAATCCACTGCCTAATCAAACAGAGGTAAGACATCTGACATCTACTTTTTAACATGTTTAAGATCCATGTTCCATTCTTGTTGTTATTTACTCCAACAATCAGTAAATATTTACAGTGAGCCTGTATAATTTGCATTGTCATCATATGTGACCCGATCTGGCGAAATGAGTCGGAAGTCGCAACGTTCTATTTTAAGATATGGGCCGATTATGTGGAAAAACAATGAAATAATAGATTTTTTTTTTTTTTGCTAATTTCAAAGAACAGACATTCAAAAATAATCTCCCAAAGTTTCATAGTCCAGATAATTGAGTAAAGGTATTTAAATTACTATTAAAGTGTACAAAGTTTTGCTAAATTCACTGGAAATGAACATTGCTTTTCTCAACTCCTCTCGTCACCTCTGAGCATTTCCCAGGTATCCCCTGAAACATCACTATCTCTGCTCTTTGTGTTACACGTTGTATAGAACCAATCAAAAAGCTTAGAAATGTACACAAATGCTGATCATTTGTCGATGGGAAGCCGTTTCGACTGACCGGCACGCGATTGGTCCAGCCACCCTCCTGTCAGACTCGCAGCGAGCGCTCTGTGTAATAAACAAGCTAGCAGATCTCCTCAGAAAGATTAAATATTATTAATTTGAGAAATGTCGCTGTCAAAAGCGAGCAAAGTTGCCAAAGCGTCATCAAGCCCCCTGGCCATTGCACACTGAGTCCGCGTTTTTTTCGTATGCGTTTTTTCGTATTGATTCGGTGGCTCCGAATTGTCAAAATACCATTCAAACTGCTTGCTACGGATGCGAAAAACTTACGATTGTTTTTATATAACGGATGAAAGTTTCGTAGTATGCACGCGTGATTGACATAACGTGATTGACAAATGTGAATGAGTGTAGCTATTTATCTGCAAGCAGAATCCATGTTTGATTAACCCAATATTTAACTGTTGGTATCTCCGTTATGCATTTGTCACGCTGTTATTGTCAACTAGCCTACACTAAGATATGATTGCATAGACTAGCATTATTTGATCTGTTTCCTTGTCTCTCTGCCTCTCACTTTCTCTCTCTCTCTCCCACACACACACACACACACACACACACACCCTCTCTCTCAAGCAAAAATGTAGCACCTCTGTTCAATCTTTCTGATTTTAGTACATTTTTGTAAAAGGTAGGCCTACTGTTAAATTATTTATTCAAATAAAAACTTTTAAAATAATTTGAGCTTCAGCCTGGTTTAATAGCATTTATATATTAATGTCTTTGGTCAAATTAAGCTGTAAAATAAATAGTTTATCCCTTTAAATGTAATGGATTTTGAAAGATATCAACAAAAAACGGGCAAAAAACTTTAAAAGCGATTTTCTCAGGTTTTCAATTAGAAAAAGAGGGCAGACGACCATAATTCAAATGTGTATATCTTTACAACCATTCAAGGTATGACTTTGACTAGGATATCAATTGAAAGCTTATGGTGTCCTCTTTCCATTAATACCAAAATCTCAATTTTTAAATTTGGGTCACTGTGACTCATTTTGCTGGATCAGGTCACATATTACAAAAAACTGGCTAACTGAAAAACTGGCATTCTACCTGGCATTCTGAAAAATCAAAAAACAAAAAATAAATGTAAGATATAACTACTTATTGCATTTTATTAGAAGTACCAAATTAGGAAAAAAAACTTACATTGCGATATTTTGTTTTTCTGCGATATAAAAACAATTTCACCAGATGATTTGAATAGCTCTATTTGTAAATAATTAATCATTCTAGAATAATTGGGGTGATTTTGTAGGGGAGTGAATGTGTGTAGAAAATAATAAACAAACTACAAGCATAGATAAATACAATAGAAGACAGATACAAATGAAATAAGCAGTTCTTTATGTTTTTCAGGTAAATCTAACAGTATTCAGGTACATAAATTGAATACGCAAATGTAAAATAATAGTCTTCACTGTATACATGAAATATAACTAGTATAATCAAATCATTAATATAATGTATCTTTGTTAAAGCTACAAATCATTTTCTCTTTCTCTTTTGTTGTTTGATCACCATTGGTGACACAAACAGCTGCATGTACATTATGCTGCTTTAAGACGAATGCACTGACCTAATATAAATGACACGATTCGTTTTCTTTCTTTGTTTACAACACATAACCGACTGTTTACGAGGATACTCGCCGAGACGGGCATTTTCATTTTGTGTGCACGTGTCCGTTTAAGCTCAAAAGAAAGATAACTGATTTTGGCTCTGTGTGTGCGCACAGAAAACTCTTGCTCTTGTTGCCTGACTCGACTTAAAAACACATGCAAATGATAAACTTTCACTCTATGATGGTTAAACTTTGCAATTAATCCATAAATCACATGCATTCCAAAGTGGGGGACAGCTGGCTTGTGATCAACTATGACCCTTATACTTGACATCGCACATCCTGCGATGTGACTATCGCGGATGCACACATCGCGATATCGATGCTAAAACGATATATCGTGCAGCCCTATACCAAATACATCAAAATCTAAACCAAGACATTCACTCATGCATGCATTTATTTGTTCTCTGTGGTTACTTTAAATGCTTTTAAGTACAGTATATCTTTGACTTTTTGTCCGCTAATTGCCTATTTGCGTTTTGTTTTTAAAAACAACTATTAAGAGAGGTCATTTGTATTCATGCTGTCAATGTGGCAAGCCATTGCAATTCCCAAGACATGTTCTGTAGCAGTGTGTCTTGAGGCAGTTGGTTTGTGTAAGTATGTAATATGCAAATAAGTTTAACAACAGTATTTGACCCTCACTGGCTTTTTTTCTTTAAATTTTACTTAAAAGATATGTAAAGTAAGGGTAGAAAAAACTGTCTCACAGTCAATCTTAGGGGGCCTTCACACTGGGCTCGTTTGCTGCTGTCCGTGTCTGGGCGTGATTGTTCCCGGCGCCCCCCGCTGCGTTGGTCTGGTTTCACACTCAACTTGATTCTATCGAACCCTGGTGCGTTTGTGTGCATCTTACGTCATCGCAAACGTGCATGGCGCATGATGGAAAACAGAACGCGGGTCAATATATTGTGTTTTTTATTAATTTGGTGCTATTTTGCGCAGCTGAGTGAACACCACAGATTTACTGTGTGCGTGTCTCATAAGGTGGCTTTTTACTGTTTGTAAACAGATTCTTTTAAGGAGACCGTGGATTTCCATTAATTTTTTTGCCCTGATTACACTGATTTCACACCGAATACACTGCAGGCTCACTCTCGCTCGAATCCAAGGTAAATCATCAACCATCATCCCTTACATGTGTTTTATTTAACTAAATACACCATAATCAGCTAAAACGCATGCACAGGTTACATTACTTCCTGAACAAGAGCGCACCCGAGTTTGTGTTGCTTTACACGTGGCACGGTTCGAGTGCAACCGAACTCAGACCACCTCCTCCAATTAATCTCGGGTTCGGTACTCCAGTGCGCACCCGGGTCCGCATGACAGCGTTCACATTAGCGATTTTTCATGCGAACCATGCCCTGTTCTGAACTAAATTGCCAGTGTTAAAGCACCCTTAATGACATGAATTTAAGTGGTCATTTATTTTATTGTATAAATGTATGAAGCAGCTGTTTTTAGTAGTCATTAGGTTTTCTAGATAGAAACCTAACATTAGAGTACAGTATGTGTGTCTTATTGCCATTGACTGTCCTATAATTATTGCAGGTTGAGGAATGGCTCTGCCTAAGTTGCCAGGTACAACGGGCACAGGCAGGAATAAATACATCTGAAAGTCCCATAGTGATACCTCAGCCAGTTCCTTTAGTGATGGACAACCAAACTCCTTCCAAAGTTGACAAGGTAGCTACAGCACCAGTTAAGTCCAAACCTGATGAGAAGCCCACCACAGCCACAGCTGAAAAGAAAGCAGCTCCCGCTCAGGAAATAAAGAAAGAGATCTCAATTCCAGGCCCTCAACAAAAGACAGGCACTGGTGCCAAGACAACTGATATAATCATCCCTCGAAAAGAACCTCAAAAGCAAAATAATAATCAACCAGAACCTGTGAAAACAGAACAACAGCCACTCAAAGATACAACCACTCCTGTAAAATCTGCTCCACCCACCGAGGTCAAACCCCCAAAACAGGAATCAAATTTCTTTGGTTTTGGATTAGGTGGTCCTAAAGCACAGCCTGCTTCTAAATCATCTGAGTCAACCACAGGGAAGATCTTCGGTGGCTTTGGTGGTCTGACAGAAACAGCTAGATCTCTGTCACCCTCACCACAGTCAGTTTCTGCTGTCTCTGGGAAAGTTCTGGGCTTTGGATCCTCATTTTTTAGCTCAGCATCTAATCTGATCTCTTCAGCTGTTCAAGATGAGCCATCCACAACACCACCAACTTCACGGAAAGGCTCCACGGTTTCCACTGAGTCTGGTAAAGCTACCACACAACCAGCTTCCCGTAAAGGCTCAGTGGCTTCTGCCAAGAATACACCGCCGACATCTCGCAAAGGATCTGTTGCAACAGAACCCAACAAGGTACCTCCTGCAAAACAGACCAAGCCACCTGTTGAAAAGAAACCAGAGCAGCTCAATGAAGACAAAGTATCTGGGATACCTACTTCAGAAAAGGATAAACCTGAAACTATACAGGATAAATTAGTAAAACATCCTGAAAGTGTACATCACCCATCCACCTGCCCACTCTGTAAAGTGGATCTTAACATGGGCTCGACGGACCCTCCTAATTGCAACACCTGCACTGAATGTAAAAGTGTGGTATGTCATCTCTGTGGATTTAACCCCATGCCTCACCTTGCGGAGGTGAGTCATTGACTATTTACCTCTTTTTAAGTCTTTTTTGCTGGTTTTTACAGGAATCGTGTCAATAAGTGTCCATTTCATCATTATTTTTAATATGTGTCTTTAGTAGATGGATAAGCCTAATAAGAGTGACAAGGTTAGAAATTTGATGGATGGGGTCATGGCTAACATTTTAGTTTGATTTGATTGCTAATTTCATTTTATATCCTCACGGAAATTCTTCAGACTATCTTTGGGAGTCTATTTGAAGGTGTCTAGAGAATAAGCTATTTTGATATCTGTCTTGTGTTTTAGCTCTTATGTATTGATGACTAATCAGCCGATGTGCTTGGGTGCATGAGTCTGACAGACAGAAAATCTGTGCTGGTGGGTTCTCCAATGTGCAGTTCATAACCTCTGTTATGCCCACTCATTCTCCAGATGGCTCTTTCCAAATTATTGTAATTTTACTAAAACTCCACAAGGGCTGAGGATGCAGCAGAAGAGCCAATAAATGCATTAGCGCTCTGCAGGGACCAATGAGTGATTGGCATTCTTTCAGGTTCAGCCAATAACGGCCAGTGTAGATTGAGTCAACAAAACCTTGCTAAGAAATTAAGTGACTTGTGAATCCAAAGCCTGGAAAATGAAAGTGGGCACTATTGTCCCTTTGGTGATTTAAAACTCCTAATAAATTAAACGATTTAAGAATTAAAAGCTTGGAAAATGGGACTGGGCAGTAGTCTGTGATGATTTAATACTGCTGTTTGTGTACAAAACAAGTCAATTTCAAATATGTTTTAAAATTATGCATTCACTCTGCATTACAAATTTGGACAAACTTTTATTTGGCGAGTTGCCCAGGCCTAAGCTCGGAGAGCAGAGGCGGTTATCTGCATGAGTGGTATTTATGAGAGCATAGCTCCATGCTAAGGCTGAAACGTGCCGAGCACTGACTCTGAGGTAAGAATCCCTGTGTTTGGACAAAATGTGTGATTACGTAACAGGCTGATTGAAGAGAGCCACAGCACACTGTGTTCAAGTGATTGAGGGGTTGTGCAATATATACCCCTCAACAGCCTTAATATGATAGGATCGGCAGCAGCTAGGAAATGGGGAGGGTGTGTGCCTCATGATATCGCAATAAATTGAGCGTGTGGAGGTTGGGTGTAGGCTAGGGCTGGGCGGTATATCGAGTTTGTACGATATATCGATATATTTTTTTAGAAACGATATGGAATAAGGCCGTTTATATCGATACAGTAGTTTGATACAAGTACATCTGAAAAATAGCGGAGGACGCAGTGTGAGCTGCTGCAGTGAAAGTACATAATGCAATTTGTCCTAAACATGACACAAGCTCATATTAATGGCTTCAAAATAACTAGTAAGATATAGTTAACAAATTTAAAGCAGCTTGCCCTGTCAGATGCTCTGACAGATACTGTTGCTGACTGACAGATAGCACTGTTTAATGCGTTTGAGATGTGGAGAGGGCGGGCCTTCGGCGAGCCTTCTGCAAGTGAATCTTCTCCGCTAAAATCCAAGCTTCCGTGAATGAGCGCCGCCTTGCGCTGCGCATGCGTGCCAAACAGACGGAGCACAATAGAATAGTAGCACAATAATTGAATAGTAGCATATTGAATGTTCTAGCTAATAATTGAATAGGTCACAATAATTGAATAGTAGCACAAACATTTGATTAGCATCGCTGACGTTTTTTTTTTTATAATTTAATTTTGTTTTACTTTTCAATGCTGAAATGTCTCTATTTCATTTTTTTGTTTAGATTTCAGTTTTTTGGAAAGTATAAATGGGATGGGATAGAGATTTAAATTTTAAACTAATCAGTAAACACTTGACTGTGCCAGGAAAGCAGTTTACCCGCTAAAATATACTCCCAACAGCAGCGTCATTCTCACAAACTACAGAAGCTATTTTGACAGTTAGCTTGCATCTCATCTGCTGTGCACGCTAATCAACAGTCGCATATGATCCACTGTTTCCTGAAATTGAGGATCTGTGCAAATACATTTATGCCCCATCTTTGTAATCAGTATATTTGCAGCTTTATGTACCAGGTGTGCAGTGTAGAAACAGCTCTACAGCGAAATTTAACTATAATATAATTGGCTCAGTTGGGGTGTACACCAGTGTCTTCTGTAAGTTCATTTAAAGGACAATATCATCTGATGGAAAAAGTATGCTCTAGACTATTATGTGGAAATGTTTTCTGTTAGTGGATATTTGCAGTGTTTCGATAAGGGTTAAAAGTTAGTAGTTTATAAATATTTATTGTATTCAGAATGGACACATTGTTCCTGAAGTGTTTTTAGTTAGAACAAATTGAGTTTGATATTGATTTTTGACCCTTTATTATCGAATCCTTCTTCCCATGGAGCCACACTGTCTAGAACTTTTTTTTTATATATTTAAAAAAGACAATGTGTAAAAGATGGCCACCTTAGGAACGGACAGCCTTGCATTTTTATGTGCTAAATCATATTTGGCATTGCACTGTCATCCTGCCCTTTTGGAAATGACACAGTCAGTCTCTTATGCCCTTAACATGAGCCTTTGACTCTGGCCTCTACAATCCTGCACCTTCACACAAGAAAACAGACCCTTCTGATGTTAAACGAAAAATACAGTGTTTGCCCAATTAACCTTTTGTATGACATTGCATATTCACATATCTGTCATGTGTAAAGCTGAGGGCATAGTTTCAAATGCTGATGCATGATATTATGATATTTAGGGATATGCTCTGGCACACCGTTGGCTAAAATAGCTTTAGATTTTAATCTACCTCAGCTAGCGTTGTGACAGCGGCTCCAAGAAAGCTGGCACTGGACCCAAGGGGACTTGTGTAATTTTGGATGCCATCTAACAGCCTATGCTGATAATTTGCATGAAAAAAATAAACATTAATTATTTGTTATTTATGTAAAATAGAATCGTGTTGTTATATTTAGGTGAATTATAAGTAACTTTAATGTTAGAGTGATATGATCTTATAATGATAGTTAAGGTTTCTTGCACCAAACAACATTTGATATTTAGTTTTACATTTCCACCTTAGCCCAGTGATATCCTGAAACTAGCCAAGCATCTACCATTAAGATGAATTGAAATGCTAATCAATAGCTTTGTCCGGGTTTTATAGATCTCTCTTTTTTCTCATATCATAAATCCAACCATTTCCAGTTTATTTAGTGCAGCTTTTATTTCAAAAGATGGTCTATTTGTACTTGAGATTAAGCTTTCAGATCCATCCAGTTGTTAATATAGCTACTGTATATGAAACTCTTATTGCAAAAGAGAAATTCAGTTTCGTAAATGACCCCTTTAAAGAACAAAGAGTGTTCTGTTGTCTTGAATGCAGTAATGGGTTGAGCAGCGGTGGTTACTGTCTGCTGTGTTTCCTCATTGTTCCTCTGGCGGTAATACACTGGTGCCCAGCTGTGCCCGAGAGAGTTCTGTGTGTTCTCTGTGGGACTGAGCTTTCTATGACATTATGACATGTCATTAACACGAAAAAATGCTCTGATGGTTTACACTACATGGCCATGGTCACCACACACACACACACAGACAGACAGTTTTTCTCACCTATTTCTCCTTTTAGTCTTGAGCTCCTGTGAGTGTTTTGGTGTGTTTGTGTCCTAGATGCTTTATGCACAGTAATATGATCATCCCAATGGCACAGTGCGTGGAAAATAGTTCAAGGTGTGTTCTGCTTGCTAATAAATTGTGGTTATTATTCTGAGACTCTGAGAAGCACGTAAAACCCGCTAGACAAATTTAATGCCATTAACTAACTCATATTGTGTAACCTCACCTGCAATCATTATTTTTTATGGGGCCAAGCACCAAATGCACATAGGCATATGTTGTAATGTATCCATTAGTCATCTTACTCTTCCTTTGCTTTTTTTTTTTTTTTTTGCCTGTTAGTCTACGTTAGACCATAAAAACATATGATAAATCGTTTGGCACACTAATTGAGGAGGGTCTTGTTATTCTTGTTGGCAACATACTTCTACCAACAGGTGAAAGTTTTAGATGCACTGCTGTAACGCAGTAAGATGTTGTGGGAAGAAGGAGGCGGGAACCGGTGAACGTTCAACACACAATTTAATAATAAAATAAACAAATACAAAACCAAAGTAAAAGACAGCAACCCCTCACGGCCGACTCCTGTCACATATAATAAAACAAACACAAATCCAGGCCTTGCCTCTCTCGTCCTTCACCATCATCTCTCCTCCTTTTATGCTTCCGCTCCTCCGTGAGAGATAGAGACCGGTGCGTTGCGCAGGTGTCGCTCATCAGCAATCCCGCCACTCGTCCTGCTCGCCACATACCCCCATCACCCCTCGCAGGCCGGGGGGTACCCCTCTGGGCGGACCAGTAACGGTGGCCGCGGCACCTGGGGGTATGGATAGATGAGGCGAGAGAAAGGAGACGGAAGCAAGAGGAGTGACAGAAAAGAGAGAGGGGAGAAAAAAATAAAGAAATCTTGGTCCGGTTCCCACAATGCACTACCAACGCGATCTTCTCCGCTGTGCCTGGCGGTGGCGCTGGACTACTTTAGCCATGCGTTTCCCTGAAAATAATTGCACTGAGAACGTTCGTCAACCAATCTGATTCAAGAATTCAACAGCCCCTTAGTATAGAACCAAACAATTTACATTGTACAAATGAAACAAATGATTTTATATTAAAACAGAACTATGCTTTAGGTCAAAAGCAATAACGCAATAATTAATCTAGCCTTTGAACAGTTGTTTTCAAAACACTAGCAGTCGGCAGTTGTCATGACTACACAAATCTGCACAGCCTTACAAGGTATATTCCACAAATCTACTCTGCATTACAAAATTCCATTCCATTAGAGTGCTTTGCTCCATAATTGTTGCTTACAGCTATTTTTTTTTTTACTGTATAGACATAGAAATAGATAAGAGAAAAGTACAGTATGTCATTTCTTTCTACAAAAGATATTGGGCTGTTTTAGA